GGTCACGTGGTCGGCAAGCCACTCCCATCCGGTCACGTGGTCGGCAAGCCACTCCCACAAAGCAGGCCACACCTACAGAAGAGGCTCTAAAAATGTTTGAAACCCACCACTGGCGCGCGCGCACGTGTGCATGTGTGCATGCATGCGCTTCTATATTTGCCTTGCTATGTAATATCCAGGAGCACCAAGCCGAGCAAACAAGCCTGAAGATGACGAATGAGACTTCGTCGAAACGTCGCCAAGACACATCCAATTTTACGCAGACAACCAAAGACCTACATACTAACACCCACGACAACCTCAAAACACACACACACACACACACACACACACATTCTCTTTTCAATTTAATTAAACTTTGATTATATATACATATAGGTAGCCCTCATTTAGTAAACATAGTTGGGACTAGCAGCTCTGCTATTAAAGTTTTCACCCTCTTCTACCCTTTGGAATACTTACTTACAAAAAATTACCTTTTCTAAATACTTTCTTACCATTTATCATTACTACTGGACATTTTTATAAAATTATCAGAACATGGCACTATTTACTGACATTTATTTATTGACCTAATGTCACTACTCTTGAATTCTTGTAAACATATCAGCAAAATAAAATAAATAATCCCAGGAATTGTAAAGAGAAATGGTTGCAAAACTTTAGAAATTCAGAAAGCACAAAGAATAGGAAAGAAATTAACTTCAATAACTTTAGGGGGCTAAGATTTTATTTCTATACTTTTGTTCTTTTTTAGTTTCAGTGTTGTGGAATTTTAGGATCTGGAGATTTTAAAGATGCTGAACGTTTCAAAGAAAAACAGCCCCATGACTCCTGGCCACAAGCTTGCTGTACTCGAGCCAAGTCTCCTGAACCTGAGGAAATTCTGGATGTGAAGTTATGTCAGCAAGGAAAATTTGGATATATCAATAATTTAGTAAGGATGTTTGATCATCTGCATGCTGTATAATCACTGTAATCCTTAGACAAAGAGTTTTAGAGAGTAGTTTACTGATAACTGTTAAAACCGGACCTTTATTGATATAACTGCTCTCCTGCTTTGGACTCTATATAATGTAAGTAATTAATGCTTGTATTTTTAAAATTCTCATATGCTTGTCTGCCAAAAGAGAATGTTGAATCTCTTAGAAAGTTTAACATCTTATTCATCAATACTGACACACACAAAAATTATTAAGAGAGCCTATTCTGTATAATGATTAAGATAAGAAGTTGGATTAGGACTGGCATAACCAAAGTTCTAGGTCACACCTTAGACACAGAAACAAGCTGGATGACCTTGGGCCAGTCACTTTTTCCCAACCCCAGGAAGAAAGCAATGACAAACCACCTCTGATATGTGTTACCACATACCATGGACTTGTCCATGTAATTGCCAGGATTTAGTCAAAATTAATGTAAACCCCCTCTCTCCCCAAAAGGTGTTTACGTTATCACTGGAATATCTTTTAAGATTTATTTTAGTTGTCCGTACCAGCTTTACAACTTAACAATTGCTTTTCAGCATATGTGGTTAAATTCAATTTGTAACTATTAGTATAGTCCAAATATGGTGCTTAAATTGGGTCCTACTTTTCTTTAAAAGGAATTATCAGGACATGCAGAGAGGATTAGAAACCATCTGCTCACCAGATATATAGTATAGTAAGCCCTTCCAGAATCAACATCTTGAGAGATATTCATGTTGTGCATTTGGGTTACCTTAGTTAATGGTGATGGAGACATTTGCATAATGATTCTTTTATTTATTACAGGGCTGCTCCAAAAAAATGGGATATTTCTTTGAATGGTACACATGGACTTTAGTGGGCTGTTGTTTAGGAATGTTAGCTGCTGAGGTAAGCAGGCATGAGTCTATTTGTGAAGTAAGCTTCATATTTTCCTTTGGCCCTCCCCCTTTATTACGTTGAATAATGTGGGTTATTTAATTTAATGTGTTGATTCTTTCCAGAAAATACAAACCAGGGCTAACATAAATTATAGCTTCGGGTGATCAGTATTTGATGTACTATATTGGTTTTTAATTTGTTTTATATACCTTGTGAAGATTCTCCCTAAAAGATGGGAGTATAAATTTATTAATTAAATAAGTTTTACTTTGGGTTTCAATCATGGGCAAAGAAAATTACTTCTCTTGATATATCAAAATCTCCTAGGGGAATAAAGATGTAATAAAGCAACATATAGCTGACTCCACATAAAACAGTGGAGTCTTTGTAAATATCAAAAGAAACAATGGAATTACACAAAAAAAAAAAATAACAGGGAGGGGAGCTAGTTTGTTCCTAAATATTCTGATTTCTTGCTTCTTCTTTTTATTAAACAGGCAAAATTGTCCTTCTGGAAAGAGGAAATTTGCTTCTTTAAGGATGTTATATTCTAGCTTAAACAAAACCCTGAGGCAGTTGGAGGTTGAACTAATATATCCATCTTGATATTTGTTTCAGATATTTGTTATGGCAACGGCATGGTACCTGCATCGCGTATTAAATGATTGATCTAGCTTGCTAATTCAGGAGAAAATTAAACATACAATACTGGGAAAATGTATTGGTATCTCATATTTTAGTTTTTTTTTTTTTTAAAGGATAGAAGCACTATCTTTCAGGTACTCCATAACTTGAAGGGTGCAGCTGGGGAATCATGGGTACATGGAACCTGCAGCCCTAGTAGAGCTGGGAGGGGGTGGGGGCTAGTTGGAACACCTCTGTCATCTCAGGTCCTGCTCCTACTTTTTTTTTAAGCTCAAGGCTTCTTTGCCAGTGTGAGAACAGCAATGCCTCTTGCCTTCTACAGCCCCTTTCTCTAATATATGTTGGCTCATTGGAGTAAATTTTATGTGAGAGACTCATAGTAAGTTGTGTTCTTATCAAGTATTTCAGCTCACTTTAAATTCCATGATTTGGTATTTTAATATTTCTCATTTCAGATCATTACTGTAAATGTTTTATCTGCATTGCTGTTTTCAGATGCATACTAATACCATTTGTGCATTAATAACATTTCAGTGGGCATTCAACAGATGCTAAGTGTAAAAATGAAAAAAATTGTGACAAGAATTCAGAAAACTACATGGACTGCTGGTTGGTGAAAGAAATGATACTCTTGGTACTTGAATGTTACCGCAGTTCTGGCAGTCTATTTGGCCACAGTGCGTGGAATGGTATGAGTGTTAGACATATCTCAGACAACTAAAAATGACCAAACAGCAACTTTGTCAATTTAAATTGTTTAAGGGCAAGAGAGTGGAGGTCTATAGGTGGGTTCAAAAAATGTCAAGATGGTGATTGCAACTGTGATCAAAGCTGTACCCTTTTTTTACTTGTGTCATGGCCACTAGCTTAAGGTGACCAGATTTTCAGATTGGTAAAGAGGGACACCATTGACCGGGGTGGGTGGGGTTGATTAAAAGTTTTATATTTTGTCAAAAGGTCACANGTTGAGGTAAGACCAACATTCTTTTTCCACTAGAATCGAGGGAGGGGTTACACGTGGGACATACCCAAGTTTAGTCCCAGGGCGCGATCTAAGACCCAGGAGGAGGGGTGGCTGCCACCAATTGAAGAACCCTGCGACCGAAGGATGCCTCCATGGAGGTGAATGTGTCCAGATGGTAGTGACGGATGAAAGGGGTCGGAGATGACCAAATGGCCACCCAACAAATGTCCTCAAATGGGGCCCTGGTAGCCCATGCCGCAGTGGTAGCGGCACTTCGGGTGGAATGGGACGTGATCCCTGCTGGAGGGGCCTGACTGGATGCCTCGTAAGCCGTCACTATGGCCTGCCGCAGCCACCTGCCAATAGTGGCCAAAGACACCCTGGCTCCTAAAGAACTGGGCTGAAAAGAGACAAAGAGAGCCTTTAATCTGCGCACACCTGCCGTCCACCTGAGGTAGATGCGCAAGGCGCAGCGGACGTCCAGTCAGTGCCAGAGACTCTCCCTTTCGTGGTAAGGGGCCGGACAAAAGTTAGGCAAAATAATATCCTGTGCCCTGTGGAATGGAGTGTTTATTTTCAGGAAGAAGGTGGGGTCCAGACGAAGGACCACCCTATCTTGATGGAATTGGCAGAGATCATTCTTGGAGGACAGGGCGTCCAGTTTCGAAATACGTATGGCCGACGTGACTGCGACTAGGAAGGCCACCTTGAGGGAAAGTAATTGAAGATGGACCGTTCAAAGGGGTTCAAACGGGGCTCCCATCAGAGCCTGGAGGACAAGGGGCAGGTCCCAGGTTGGAAATCTATGTATAGGGGGAGGTCTGAGATTCACCGCCCACTTCAAGAACCATTTAATCAGAGGGAGGTGAGATAGGGCAGAGGGGCTCTCCCCCCAAGAATGGAGGACAAAGCTGCCACCTGGCAGCATAGGGTGTTGTGGGAGAGGCCACTGTCCAGACCCTTCTGTAGGAATTTGAGAATGTGGGCCACCAAGGCATCGGTGGGGTTGATACTTAGCGGGTTACATCACCTGACGAACACTGACCAAGTGGAGTTGTAAATTCGAGTGGTCAACGGATGCCTGGAGGCCTCAATGGTTGCTATGACCTTGGAGGACAGGTTAGCATTCCTCAGGAGTCGCCGCTCAAGTGCCAAGCGGTCAAGTGGAGCCACTGGGGCTCCAGGTGGATCAGGACCCCTTGCCACAGGACGATCTCCCCCTGAGGAATCCTCCATGGGGGGGATACTGATAGCTGGACGAGGTCCGCAAACCAGGGCCTCCTTGGCCAATAGGGGGCCAGCATGATGACGTGCACCCTCCCTGTCACTACCTTCCCTAGGGTCCCTGGAATAAGGGGGATACTGGGAAAGGCATAAAGGAGGCCTGGTGGCCATCTGCTCCTGAGGGCGTCCATGCCCTCCACGGTTCGGGTCTGGATTCAGGAGAAGAACCTTGGCAGTTGTGAGTTCCCTGGAGTAGCAAATAAGTCCACCTGCAGGGTGCCAAACCTCTGGTAGATCATCTGGAATAACTCGGGTATGAGTTGCCACTCGCCATTGTCGAGGGTTGCTCGGCTCAGCCAGTCTGCCTGATGGCTGGACGTGCCCGATACTGTATGTGTTCCAACACCAGTGATGACAAGTGTCTCTCTGCCCAGCCAGAGAGCCCGGGAATGAGTACCCCCATGATGGTTTATGTGGGCTTTTG